GGGTGGGGGGGTGGGTACAGGATCAGTGACACATCCAGACTGGTGGCTCCAATAACGGGCTGACGACAGACAGGCCTCTTCAGCCATTCTTCTGAAAAATCTCCGCTTTCTCTTCATTTATTTCCTCATGTGTCCGTCGTTCAGTGTACACCTGACACAAATGTAGTCCTCCTTCTCCGCCATCTCAGCTGTAACACCAACGCACACTTGGTGAAACCACTGGTTACAGCTGCCGTCACACTGAACCCAATCCACCTGCAGGCAAACACACAGAAGATGGTTTCACTATGACAGAGTATGATTTAACATTAAACCTGAAATAACAGATTTTTCCTGCAGCAGGAAAAAAAAAAAAAAAAATTGTAAACAAGTTGATATTGTGAACTGTTGAGCTGTTTATTTACACATCCAGAGAGTTAAGTTTCAGGCCGCCTCATGAATCTAAGTCCAATGTTCACTCTCTTTTAGCTCTGATTCTGGTCGCCACCAACTCCTGAAGAAAACATGTGACTGTAGTTGCTAAATGCTCCGCTACTCTTTGTTCGCCAGCTAGTCTCGAACTCTGTGTGGTGCCGTTTGGTGTGGAGCAGGTAGTGAACAGTGGGTTTTAAAAGCTTTTATGCTGAAAACGAAGCTATGAGATCAGTGGGAGTGAACCAAAACAGTGACGTTACAGCGCCATAAAACTGCTGAACAACAGCTGAAACACATTGAACTGCTCAGTATGAGGGGAACGGCAGAGTCGAGTGATAAGTCTCTTTGGGTGCTTTGCTGCAAGTGGATCCTTGTTATTTGTTGTTAATATAAAAATACTGATTACATCCACTTTAAATGGTTAATTTAGTGTCATCAAGTTCTTTATTTGAAAGTTCAGTTTCTTAAATGATCTTAAAGAATAGGTTCACAGTTTTTTCAAATTCGTCTTCATACCCGTATGTACTCTCAAACAGTTTTTGCTGTAATCATTTCTCCTGTTCATGCTGGCCATTAAAAGATCCTTCTTAACCTGCTTCTTGAAACAAAGAGGTAATTTATATTAAGGACTTTTAAGGACTCTTCAAATAACACATAGAATGTAATTTACTACCTACAATATGACGTTCAATTATTTCTCAAGAACATGAATTTATTTTGGGTGGTAAACTGTCCTGTCCTGCAGGGTAGAGATAAACTGTATGTCAGAGGTTTTATTGTGCCCTTGCAGTGACATTTTTCTCACCTCATCTCCCTCTGGCAGCTGACACCTCTCTGCTGGACACACAGCCATCTCCTCATCAGAGTCGTCAGACTGGGAGAAATCCGAGCGTGGGGAGGACGAGGTCGAGGCTGGTCTGCGCTGCAGGTTCTTCTTATTCATCTTCTGTCTTTTGTGAGAGTGTTTTTTGTCCTTCAGCCTGCGCTCTGCATCTAAACCTTCCCTCTCCAGATGCCGCTTCGTTTTCTTTTCTGAGCCAGTCATGGTTTCCCTCATGGCGTTGACACCATCCTGAAAATAAAAACAACACAAATGAAAACTGATATTGAGGCAGTTATTATGTTATGTGTTTTCATAGATTCTCTTTGTTTGTACCTGGTCCAGTGGCAGATTTTTTCCCTGAGAGTTAAACTGCATGTGTTTGTCACAGTCTGTGGACTCGTCCTGTGGTGGCAACATGCATCTGTTTATGTGCTCGCTTGTGGCTCTGTCCAGTAAAATGTGGTAGAGGCTCTGAACCTCTGGCAGAGACACCTGCAGCAGGAGCCCCTCCACCATCAGCTCCTCCAGCTCCTGACTCAAGCCTGTCACACAGAAAAACACCCAGAATATAAACAATACT